ATGCAGTATCTAATTTGTGGAGCAGAAGAGCTCCGTGGTACATCCTTTTATGGTGGTACTTTGACTGTTCACTCTTAGGGACCTTCTGCAGTGCAACGGGGTTCTGACCACACACAAGGGGTTTCCTTCCAGCAGGTTATCAGAACATGCAGTTTACACTGSTGGACAGCGCATTTCCTCTGAAGTTGAATATGGTTGAGTATGACAACGGTTCCTTCATCGGTAAGAATGCTATGCAAAATACAGGTTAATTCTTGCTAATTAATACAAGAAAATCAAAAAGGAAGTTCTGTGAAAGGGCGGAATGAAGATACTTTAAAAGCAATGATAGCAAGAACTTCACAGCCTGTCCAACATAGAGTGCAGAGGGCCTCCACAGGACTTYTAAGTGACAGCTTTAAGTAAAAAATTATCCCTGGTAGCACAGATCCTGTTGATAATGGTAGGCTATGAGGCCAGTAAACACAGAGGAAAAAAAAAAAAAACACTTTTTCATTACAGTCATTTGTTATATTTGACACTGCTGTTGAATAAAGGCATAATTCTTTTGGACATTGAACATGTGCCTCCTACTGACTTCACATCAGGGCTTTTCAGGAGGAAAAACGGAAAAACTTTATCTGAAAGATATATTTAGAATGGAGACAAAAATCTAGTATTCAGGTTGTTCTAACAGATGATGGTGGAAGTTAGACATAACATGTATTCTGAGTGTTTGAAGTTCATTTTGGCAGCTCATAAATCTTTTCTTATTGAAAAGTGATGCTTGCTACAGTATAAAGGATGGATTATACTATATTGTGGACATTTCAAAAGCATTGAATATTGAATAAAAACACAGAATATGGAATCAAGGCTCTTTGCCTAATTAAGCTTGATAGGAAATGCTAATGTGCACTTCTTAAAGATAAATTTAAGTATGATAGGAACTGTGTGTCACTTACCTAGAATGAACTAGCCAATTCCATTTCTGAAAGTCATTTGTCCTCATTCCTTGTCACCAACCATTCTACTACACCAACCACTAATACTTGATAAAAATTAAAAGATTCTAATGCAATAGTGTACACATAATGCTGATACAAATAAAATATGCCATAAAGTAAAACAATCTACTTACAGGCTAAGCAGTTCCAAAATACTTTGGGATTTTATTTTAACTTAGACTTTCTTACAATTCTGAAAAAAAAAAAAGGTATTCACTTAAGTGAATAAAGATGATCCAAGACCTATGTTTATATATAAATTTGTGTTAAAAAATCACTATTCCAATTTGTTTTCATTAATGTTGCACTGAGAGTGTGCCTAATCAAATGCCCATTCAAAGTTCAGCAAATCAGGATCAGTCAAATCAGCCAACCTCATTCACTTTTTATTTATTTAAACAAAGCAAGGGACATGGAATATGAAGTCAGGGTTCCACTGAAGGATTATAAATACAGACTGAAAAAGCAAATTAATCCTCTGAGGAGAGTTCATTTCTGAAATAAAATGCTGGTTTAGGAAACCACTTTGAGTCCAAGCTTGGGGAATAGGACTAAATATTCGACTTAAATTTGAAAACCCAAGACATTCTTAGCTAAAACTACATATACCTTGGATAACTTATATTAATGGGTATGATAGCTTTGCTGTGTCTCGTTTATGAATATCATACATACGTAGTGCTGGGTTTAAAATTTTATTTGAATGATGTTTAATGTTATGCAAAATAAATTATTTTTGTTACATCCACTGTGACATCAACTAAAATGTGAACTAGTTTGCATAGGTTAGTACTGTGGGCAGCATGATGTTGCTCTAGTCCACCAAGGCTTAAAGATTCACAGTGTAGAGGAAGAAACAGGAATTAAAGCATTTCTACTAAAATATATTTTAATAGCTGGTGTTAACTTTCTGCATAACAAAAGCCAAATTAAGATGATACATCATATGATCCAAGAGTAAGTATAGCTGTCCTTTGAAAAACAAGTGTTATCCTCATTATCGTATATTCCCAAATACAGTACATTTTTGCAAAATAACTAAAACTTTACACATTTTAAAGCAAACATAAGCCAAACTGCACAGCGGTTCATTTTTGCTTCTTATGTTACACTGCAAAAACCAACAGCTGAGTTTCCACATCATGCTAATCAATGTTAATACAGTCATTGCTGCCTTCCAATGGTCTAGCAATTTCTAATAGTAATATTAAATACACATGATTGAAATGCTACAGTATAGCTTATTTTTCCCCAAAATAATAATAATTAAACAAATGTCAACAGCAACTGGATTACAACTTAAGTACAATATGCAAATTCTACTCATCAGACACAAGAAGCATATGAAATTCCTTTGAATATACTGTTGTAGTGCAGGCAGTCTAGGAGAGAATACAGCTTTCTGGTTCTCCTTCAAAGGGGAGATGGAATTCCTATGGCATAAAGCTGGAGAAAATCACTAAAGCATTGCAAAATGGTTTGTTCTTCTATAGCTCACCAGTACTTTGCATTTGCCAGCACATCAGTTTGGAGATCTTTTTCAACAGCATCTTTAGTCTGTTTCTGTATATTACTTAAACATTTACTAACTAAAGCTTAGTCTGTATTTCAAATGGAGTATTAATCAACATAATTAAAATCTAACAATTTATACCCCACACCACTTCCTGCCAAAGACTTCTGTTATTTGTCAGTTCTTTTCCATTGTGCATGATAACATGCAGACATAGTACAATAAAAACTAGAATTATTACCTTTCCCAATATTGGAGACCTTCCATTTCCCTGAGGAGCACTTGGAAGGGACACATTTGTCACAAATATAATCCATGGGAGGTGATTCACTGTCAAATCCCAATCTATTGAAGTGGTTTATGGTATGTCAAATGTAATCAAGAAAACCCTGTTTCATCAAGATTAAATGCTAATGTTCCATAATGAAAAATTATAACTGCAGTATCTCTAAGTAGCTTTGTTTAGAAAATGAAGACTAGCCAGGCAAGAAAGAGCAATGAAAAGCAAGGCACCCATTTGTTCTCATATGTATGTGTGTATGAATATGATGTATGTAGTTTTCTGTATTTATGTTTGTGTCAGAAAGAATTATAGCACACTATAACTACTTAATTTTCTAAAAGGCTTAAAATAGGAATGTGTGAATTTCTAACATGAATTTTATAACTTTGGGGAAAATTTGGCTTAAAAAAAGTCTTTTCTTCCCCTAGGAAAATGTTGTCTACAGGAAGAAAGTACAGTGAGAGGAACAAGGTGTGTTAAAAAAAAAATAGACAATTTAAAGGTGATGAGATAGTATATAACATCTGTTCTCCCTATATCCCACTGCATGTAACAGGCTCCAATAGATACCTTGTAAAACCTTTGCTGCCACAAATTTGGTTCTGACTTAACTTTCCATGCTTTATCTATTTTAGATTCTGTGAAAAAAATTGATAATTGTACTCTGAAAATATGAGGCATTTGATATCACTTGTGAGAATAAGCCTGCATAATGAAAATAAACGATWTATTCTATCAGAAAAAATAGAAACCATTCCAAATGAATGAGAACTAATAATCATATGTAATATTAAAAAATACTATCTATATGGGTAACTTAAAACAGGTCTTAACAATTCTGCTAATATACCATTCTCATGAGAAACATAATTCACATAATGTTCTCTTGACYTTTTTTATTTTTGCATGTTGCTTTAGGTGCTTTACTAAGCTATAGAATAATTAAAATCATAAAGAAAATATTATTTTCATTAGCATAACATAATCCTTTAATGTCATCAGATACTCATTTCCTGGTTTACTTTTCACTCTGTTCAACACTGGAAGGACCTTTCCAAGTTGGAAGAACACCAGTGTATTTATAGGTCAGGTGCTTCTGAYAGAGCACAACAAATTGCAACTTGATGCAGCATATCTGTTCCCTGTATCTTTTTATACAAATCTGCTTAGCTGATTGACAGATTGTTTTTATTGTTGTCAGCATTACACAGCTAATAGAACAGCACAGCAGCAAGTGATACCAATTCTGCCTCAGGCATCATCAGAAAAAATTGCCAGCCATCATAAAATAGGATTTGTATTTGCTATTTGTTGTTGATGGCTAGAGATAATAACTAATGCAGAAGTTGACTGCTTTTTGAGGGATTCTAGGCTGAGCTTGCCACACCAGCCTTTGAAAATGCCATTTGACTCACAAAGCCAACAAGTTTAACACAGAAATTATCAGTAAGATATTAGGGTTTGTTCCAGAAGTAGCTCTCTATGCAAAACTCTTGGATCTTCCAAGAATTTTAGTGACAGCAGTGTGACCTGTACTGATATGACATTTAGAGTATCACATCCTCTACTTTAAGCCACATTTTCTGAAGTTACATGCTGCTGGGCAGCTTTATTCTTGAAATTAGGCATCTGACAAGAAAGCATGAGCAAATCACAGCTATGAAATCCTTTTTTTTTTAATGCAGTCGCACCACTTTCTGTTTGGCACTCTGAAACCTGCCCCTTATTAACACACACACACAAATGCATAAGCTTTCCACTTCTTAATGGTATGCAATAGCAGAATAGGCAGGTATTTTTACTGATAAGTTTCATTTAATGAAACAAATCCCTACTCCCTTCCTTCTTTAGTATTTAATGAGATATTGCAGGCTTACTTATTTTTGTGGAAAAAAAAAAAAAGAAATATAAAATTATCTGTAAACTCTACATTTAGTTCTACTTTTAAAAATCCAAAAATACAAGAACACCAGTGCAGATTCAACACTGGCAACTACCTTAAAGTTAACTTCTCAAACACACCACTCAATAAATGATACCAGCAGGAACATTTTCTTTCTTACATACATATACATCCACATCAGCAAATTTCTATGTGAATCTTGAACAATTTTGTACTTCTTCCCAGGGACTCTGCTGGGAGGAAACATGGCACCCTTTCAGAACCCAAGTAAAGCCAAGGCCCTTCCCTGTGACCCAAGTCTGTAGACATAGTCCCTCTTATATCATTATATCACCAATTATTTGATCCTCTGCTCGGCCTTTCAGACTGCAGCCTGAATCCCTCAGTCTTGAGCATAAGCTGATGGGCCACAGGGGAAGAGGAAAAGGTCTCTCAGCAGAGGACACGCAATGGCTTTAGAATTCTACTGTTGTCCCTGAAGGTCTAAACTGAAGTCTGACAGAACACAGCAGCTTTGAATCCTGCTTGGTAAATTTTGACTTTCAGATCGGTTAAGGGAAAGAATAAACCAAGTTAAAAATTAAAACATAATACCTATCCTTTGTTAATCATTTGGTAAGCATACAACCCACAGCTGGATCACCAGGTGATCTGGAGGAAACTGAGTGACAGGCCATTGCACTGAAACGCACTACAAGAACCAGAGCTCTTCACCACTCTGCAATGAAGGGCAAGGATTTCTGCAGCAGGGTAGGCACATCAGCTCAGCAGCCGGGAAGCAAGGAGCTTGTGGCAGGAGTGAGGGACGTGACTGCACGCTCTGTGCAACCACACAGCACTGGGGCCTCACACAGGCTATTTACAGCACTACACATGGAGATAAAGTAACATGAAGTATTGATTGTTCATTGCCCTACTGGAAGTTTCTGTTTAAATGCCAAGTATTATTAAAAGGAAACAGAAGACCTGGTAGGTTCTATTCTCTAGATAGTCTCTGTGAGGGGTTTTGTGTGGAAAAGATACTGAAGAACCATGAACCCTGGCATAGATATAACTGATGGACTGAGATGCAAGCAAAGCTGATAGAAGAGGTCACTGTTGAGCATAAGAGAAAATGGGCAATCCAGGAGTAATTGTGGGTAAGTAAAATTCAGGAAATATTTGCTCTCAAAATAGTTCTGTTTCRTGTAAGGTTGATGGGCAACATGGGTTTTATTTGTTTTTTATTAACACCTTACCAGTAATTATTTCAAAATCCAAATTCTTTACTCAACATTTTATTAAGATGCTAACTGCTCAAAAGCCAAACACTCCCCCTATGGTTTGAAGAAGTGTTCAAACTCATTACACTGTTAGCCTGTTTTGATTTCAGAGTGCTTTAAAAAGTGAATCAATTTTATAGGTCTGTTATAAAGAGGAATAATCTCTTTGAGAAGAAGAGAAAAGATATTTTCATTTTACAGAAAAAAACATTCACGGGGTTAGCAGCACTAGCCTTCTATATGTATCTCTTATTTTTGGGAAGCACTATTGTAAGCAATGCTGAGTTCTGAATTTCTTTTCTGTTTATCTGCACTTTAAAGGACTCTAAATTGGATTCTGAATGAAAATGCAGACTTACAGCAGTGAAAAAGTAAAGAACATGTGGTCTTAAAATATTATTTTGATTTTTTTTTTTCTAAAAGGTTATATTTTGAGTTAATCAGAATAAAGCTCAAAGGACAAGAGACAAAAGTTAGTTAACAAACTCAATATAATTTGCTGGAAGCATTCCTGTTTTCCCAGTTCTCTGAACAGTACCATACATCCAGCCATCATCAATTGGTTGCACATTGATGATATAATCGCCATCCCTGAAGGAAACTTCATCTTCATCTTGAGCACTGTAGTCATACATAGCTCTGTATGTTCTCTGTTGAAGAAAAGAAAACAAGATTGTAAAGTCTCAAGCTTAAGCAAAGATAGCATCCTTGTGTCCTTTCACAGAGAAAAAGGAAAGAGCAGGAGTAAGAAAGAAAGGAGCCAAGGGAAAAAGAGTAATTTAGGTAAATTACCTTTKGAAAGGAAGCAACATATAACATAAACATAACATAAAACAACATCCTGATAATTATTTAATAAATATAAACATTTTTTGTGAGTACCAAAATGGTGACTTTTGTGAACCTGACTCTTGAAAAGTTCATTCTAACTGCTTCATATACTCACTAGTAACAGTTCATTATGTCCAGCCACAGCTGGCTGTGTACACGGCCTCTGACTGTGCTTCTGCTCCCTGTTTGCATGACTCCCAAACAGCTTGTGCTGTGTCTTCACTTCAAAAAAATCAATATCTTTATGCAGGTCATTAACTTTGCCATCTCATTGGATGTCCTTCATTTTCTTTAACATTTTACCCCAAATGAAAAGTTACAAAATATATTAATGAAAAAATATATACATATAAATACCTACACACACACACATATATATAATATATAATGAAAACAAAATTTCCAAAGTCTGCAAAAACAGTTTTTTTCAATTATACAGCACAAATAAATGATTAACCTAAACAGAACACGAAGTCCTCTTTTTAGTTACGCCAAACTCCCCAATACCTCTGCCAGCTGTAAGCAAAGATTTCAGATTCTTTTTCATATATTTATTTCAATTCATAATCAACAATATGCTATCATTTACTCAAACTCAAAGTATGATTTCCAACTTACAGGGAACAAAGTCTCCCATTGTGTTTTAATGGCAGAATAAAGGTAGCTCAATTTAAGATTCCCAAGAGTTTTTCCCCTTTTCTTGTCTCTCAATAGAAGTCAAGAGCAGTTCAGGCATCACTGATAATACCTCACTGGCCTGCCAGCTCTTTTTCCTTGTCACGGTATCTAGCTTCTTTTTTTTTTTTTTTCCTTTTCCTCTGGTAAAATGATTCAAAGAGAACAAAGGTAAAAGACTGTTAACACTCGGGATGATTGTCTTAACCTTTTAAAAGACAGCAATATTCAGTCTGCTCCCAGTTCAGGAAAACAACTCCTAAGCAGCTCTACCTCATGCACTTGTCCTGTTTTCGTTATTTGTTTTGTTTTGAAGAAATTTTATTATCAGAAATGATGTCCATATCTGGCATGAAGGAGAGAATTTTTTTACTAAGCCACGATTTCTATGTCCCTATTAAATGGGCAAAGACTGGGGCAAGAGGTGAAATGTATTATTAGACTGACAGATACAACTGAAATGAAACAGTCACATTTTTGCTCACCAGAAAGATGCTCATCGTCATCCTTTAACTACCCATGGTATGGACATAACTGCTGCTGTTTCCTTTAAGGCGKCTTGACTACATCATTGTGGTGCAAAGTTGTTAAAATAAGCTAGTAATTTCAAACTTAAAAAAAAAAAAAATTTATAGGGCCCTAAATGCCGCTAAGAAACCTAAATTTATGGCCTTAACACCTAATTAGGTGCTAAATGGCTGTCAGGAGAAATCTCCATAATAATCCTGTTAGCATTTAACGCCTAATTATCACTTCAGAGTGTAGTCTGGGCTATATAATTGAGAATTACAATACTTAAAGGACTCAAAGCAGAGGATTTTTAAAATGCATTTAACTGAATTATTCCTCTGTCAGTAGTGAGTTCAGCAGGTACTGAGAGCACAATRGGGGTTTAATAGAAGGTTGGAGTTTTGTAAAACAGTCAAGTATTCACTTCTGTCTCCTCAAAGGTCTAACTTGCAGCTTTTGCTTAGGCAAAACGGTAAGAAATCTGTGCATATGAAGAACTGAAGCAAAGCTATTCAACTCCCCAGCCAAATGTGAGTTAAGAGATGCATATCTCCTGCTCAACCATCAGTTTAAACTCACTTTCTGGAGGGGTCCTCACAACCAGTAGTTACCTGTTGCAATGGGGAAACCAACTAGCAACATGAGGGTTGTTTTCCTAGAACCTTTCCTTAYCTAAAGGCTTTGAAACAAACTTTCTTATTTTTCAGAGGTAAAAATACTCCAGAAGAAGCCTTAAGGGAGCTGTTATAAAACATGCTGTACTCTGAGCAGCAATTTTATTCAGTCTATTACTTAAAATTGCTCATAGAAAGTGAGCAAAAACTAAAGAGTCAGAAAAAGATATACTCAAGAACTGTGCTAGGGAACTGTGCTAAGATGATGTTTGATTTAAACCCCCCCCAAAAAAAGGGGGGGGGGGGGAGAGAAGACTCAAAAACAAATGACCAGAAAAATAAGCATTAGGAAAATTCTCATGTTGGTGGACGTAAGATGAATTTATGGATTTTTTGGGGGACCTGATTTGATAATGATGTCACAGAGTACAACAAGATTGAATGGGCTTTTATGACCACACCTACCTCTCTGCTCATTCTCACCCTAAAGGAATCCATGGATCTTCAACTTTCTTGTCCTAGAGAAGTCCTAGGAAAACTGAGGCTGACTTCATTATCTTTACTTTCAGTAAAAGATGGGGATTTTGAGACCAATATTCGAGTTAGGACATCTTTCCTATAGTCTCAACTCAGTTTATTCTCCTTCCTTTCTTCCTCATCYTCCACATGGCTTAGTCAAACCATACAGCATACTCCCTTACGTACTTTCCCTATTACCATTGAATTTCCAGCTTTGGAAAGCAAAGGAAAATGATGAATCTCAAGAGAAGTGAAATGATACTGTTTCAACAGGTGGCCCACAGGCAAGTCACTGGGATATTAGGGAAATACTGAAATAGCAGACTATCTACTTTTCCATGTAGCCACGGAGGCAACCAAGTGGGCTTTAGATTTTCAGGCATGGCTATTCTCTAGATGCTAAACTTGAAGGCTCCTTGCTTTACTCCTTTATTCACTAGCAAATCTGCTAGCAAAATCTAGGCTTATAGGACTGCCCCCACCCTTTTTTAACTTCATTTCTTTTGGAAAGCAGCCAATTCCCCAACACCTTGAGATATCCTTGAAACTGAATATCTGACTAGTTTCAACTGCCTCACACCTCCTAGGCAAGTATCCAAAGAAATTCCCAAGTTTTGGCTCACCCAGAGATACAGGTATGTGCATCCTGGACCTTTCATCAAGCTAAGGAACTTACAAGCCTGAAAGCACTGAAACTTCCCAGAATTTTGTGATCTTTGCAGATCCAACCAACTTGGTAAACTTTTTTTTTTTCATTTGAACAACTTCCCTTTTCCTAGCCAGCTATAAGTTTTATTCACAACTAAATGCTTCTTCATTTCTAAACAAGGTGGCAGAAGCTATAAATATACTCAAAACAACCTTTCAAAGTTTTCTTTCAGAAATTTTTTCTATCACAAAGAAAGTTGATATTCCTAAAGTAAAAAGTGATAGAATCTGAATCGTGCATTATCTAGGCAGTGCTATGACAAGAAAAAAAAATACATGAGAAGCACTAAAAACTTAACTTTACATCTAAAGAGATCAAAAAGTAAAAAGGTCAATTTTCAAAAACTATTTTCCTGAAAAAAAAATTCAAATCTCCCTCCAAAGTCAGTCACTTCTGACATCTCAAATTCATTCCAGCTTTACATTCTCATCCACCACAAATAAAAACTTCATGACTGCAGCCATGGTTTCATGATAATGCTTTTTTTCAACTGCTCAGGAGTGTAACTTGATTTGCATCGGGTCTGAACGGGCGCRTGACTGTTCTACTGAATTAGAAAGGACATATCAATACAGAATATGTGCTGGCTTCATACAAACAACACTGAATAATATGGATATGCATAACAGCTGCCAGGACAAAGTCAACAAATAAGTTAAACCAACAGAGTGATCATAAAAAAAGATTGGTGTTACTAATCTGGCAGGAACCCGAGTTCATCAGTCTGCATAACATCAAAGTCTAGCCCCAATGTTTTAGCAGGTGGAAGATGCTGTTGTTTCATCTGACTCCCTGAGATCATAAATTTTTATAATACCCACTGGCATAAAAGTTTTTGCCACTGCCCTCAGTGACTTATTTTTCCATACATTCTAACTATCATCCACATTTAGGACCACCACAGACAAATATACATAAAAGGTCAAACACAGAATCAAAAATAAAGAAACTGTCAGAAACAAGGGAAAACACTAACTTCCAGAATTCTCAGGCTACAGAACTCAAAGAGATCAATTTGCTTGCATTTAAAAGATTTCACAATAATGTCTGAAAATGCTGCTTAACAAAAGGAATTGTTATTTAAATTCTGTACTCACCAGACCTGCTGAATGAGGCTGTGAATGCATTGACCTCATGGATGACATACTGGTCTGATGCATGTATCCATACCCTTGGGACTGGCTTTGCTGATACGCACCAGGGAGAACAGGGGCTGTGCATTAAGGAAACACAAACACATCACTGTAAGTTAAAAGAACATCCTTATCCCTCAATTTCTACAAGTTGCAGTTTGTTTTCTGATTAAGGATCTACATTTTATATAACTACTCAATGCAAAACTGATGAGAATCATTTCCATATACAACATACAGCCTTCCATGGACTGAATGATACATAAAGGTAGCCAAAGCTATGGCAACATATCAAGTTTAGTTGAAAGGAAAAGCTTAACAGACCTTAAGGATTTTAATCATAAAAAGACATCCTAAAACTATCTCACCATTAACTCAAGTTTTGACGCTGCCACAGATGAGGTAGTAAGTGGGAATGCTATCACATACTTTAAAAATGGCATTTTGTGGCAAAGACTGACCAAAGCAAAGGTATATACTGGCTTATATACCAGCAAAGTTTTGAAATATCTTACCAGAATTCAAAAGCAATTAATTCCTAATTAATTAATTCCTAATTAATTGCAAACTAATTCTTTCTTATGGACCATGCAAAACAACAACAAAAATACTGTTCCACAGGAATAGTCATAAATGTAAAGAAGTGCATCCAAACTAGGTTTCTTAGTATATTCTGATTCCATTAACATTCTTAGTAAAAATAGATGTTAGTAATTATTTAATTATTTCAATGTCCATCTCTTTCAGCATCTTCATCTTACCACATATCTCTTCTATTTCTCCCTTATTCGTTCATATTGTTTTAGCAGTTCTGAAGATCCCTAACCATGACTATGTTTTTGTCTTTTATTGTACCAACGGGCACTGAATGAGCTAACACAACAATCAAGGACTTCCTACCTCTGTTGCTTTCTAGAAAAGCATTAGTAGACATTCAATATCAGTTCAAGCACAGTGCTTTAGCAACAGATTGAATCAAAATGCATTAAAAACACATTTGACAAAAAATCTGAAAATACTGAGGAATAAGAACAGCRTGTTAGAAATAAGCTGAGCATAGGTGACTATTCACTGTTTTCCCAGTAAGTCTAAAAAACATTTTTAGAAGAAAATTAAAGATTTAAATGGATTCTACTAGATTAAAATTTCAGTCAACTCATGCATGTGCATGTTTTACAAAGGACCAAATCTTCGCTAGTCCAACTGGAAATTCACTTGGCAACACCAAAGTGTATTTCCTGTGACACATCTACAAGAAATCCATTCAGCCCATATTCTATCAGATTTCTCTGACAAAATCCATCTTTCACTTACATAAGATGGAGTTCATTCAGCCCATGAGTCAAAAATCCTCAAATTTGGAGTCATTCAGCAGTCACACTTTGGGAGATACGTCTCTTGGGTTGGTTGGGAAGCAAAGAACCATTTCCAGAGCAACCACTACACACAGATTCAAGCAGAAGCAAAACTAATGTACAGTTTAATGTGTGAGTAGGGAAGAATCCACATCTTGTAGTATGAGTTGGAAACCTTCATACCAAAAGAAAACCCAACTTTATACACATATATGAAAATTCCAAATATTTATGTTTGGATTAATAATACTTTGTCTGCCTCTCTAGTGATTGGAACAACAGATGGATGTGAAAAGGATTATTAAGAGGTTTGCTGAACTATGTCTGAAGGAAAGGTTGGCCTTGTGCTTTCAACATGGATTTTTACCTAACTTGATTCCCCAGCTAGCAATACCATTGATATGAACATTTTTTTTTTCTCTTAAAGATCATTTATTTTAGTTAGCATTATCAAGCACACTAGGTAAATAATTACAACTTTGGATGTTATTTTTTGATCTACTATACTTTTAAAGATAGAAAAGTACGGCTAAGATTTTTCTGGTTTAGTAAACATGCTTCAAACTATTGTAATGAATAGATTGCTTTGTTAAGTGAGTGAAATTAAAGTGAAACAGTCAGATGCGACACTGGAACATGATGAATAATGGATGTTTTAGAAGTGCCAAGTTCATTCTAATGACATATGAGTACAAAGACATTTTAAAGCAGTTTAATCATCGGAGAATTGCTGCTCGTTAACATGTTCACAGAATTATCATGCATTAAGTGAATAGCCCTAAGTAGTTCATCAAATAATTTATGTTTCAGTGTTGTTACAAGCTCTTTCTACATGACCAGATGTAGCCCTTCATGTGAGAAAAGAGAGAAACATAATTTAATCAAAGGTTCTGTGATCAAGCCTGGATGAATACATTTTGCCTATTTTTGCCTAATTTACCACAAGCATAATGGTTTGTCAGCTCTTAGAAACCAATGGAGTTTCATCTCCTCATACCAGTAGTAAATTGGTCAAGTGGTTCAAAATTGAGCACAGCTTGAACTTTTTAACTTACTAGGAAGTAGCATCTAAGTGGAAATCAGCTGCTGATCTGTCAGCACTGTCTGCAGTGCAGCCATGAAGAGCTAGGAGCTGCTCTCCTTGGTTCCTGTGAGAGATTATGAAAACCTCTTTCTTTTTCTTAAGTGAAGATGTTGGTAAAGCAGTTCACTCTTGACTCCTTCTCCCCCTATCTCATCTTTCCTAACACTTGCCAATTTGTCAGTGAGAGGCAGCAAGCCAACTGATGTTCTTTGTTATATCCTCCAAATGGAGGGCCTTAGTTCAGGAAGGCCAACCCATACCTCCCATCTTAGTGACGGCCGTAGCGGGTCTGAGATGTGCTTTCCTCTTTTCCTTGAGTTTCTTTCCAGCTGAGAGAATTACCTCAAGCTGTGCCTCAGAATCTACTTACTAATTTACTTGCTACARTTGAAATTAAGCCCAGAGAAACAAAGCATGTCTTCCAAAGTATGAAAGATTTTGGGCAGCATTATAAACTGAAATATTATATAAAGCTTCCAGATAAAGAGAAGGGATTTCTAGGATTCCATGGCTTAATTATCTTTCAGTGTTTTATATGAAATCAGTGTGTACAATACCTGACTGAATAGCTCCACCTTTTCTTCCACTAAAAATACTGTAGTAGGGCTACAAAAATCTGCCACTTTTAAGAAATTTTCAAGAAATCCTCAGAATGTTGCCTATCTGGTTATAACATAAATCAGCCAATTAGCGAAGGGCAACAGATGTGAGCTATGGTTTTGGTTGCACATAGATAACTCAAGATGAGACTAAATGATGCAGGGGAAAAAAAAAAGTTTGACTTTTCCTCATTATCATCGCTGCCCAATAATGGCAATATTTTGGCTCGGACTAAAGTATAAAGCTCTGTAACATCACTGACAGAAGCAGTAGCAAAAAAACAGTGGTTTTAGTTAACCTAAGGGAACAATAAAGCACCGTGGTGGAACATAAAATTCATTTAGCTGAAACCAAATTTATTGGCAAGGGATCGGAGGGCTGACCATTGCTCCCAGAAGTACAGGTGGGAGTTGCAATAAGACTTTAGCAGATGCATTCTGAGGTATCAAAATTCGCCCGTTCCCCCCTCCCCCCTTCTTTTTTTTTTTTCTTATTTTAAGAATTCCTCCTTGAAGGAATTTATCCTGTTTTTCTTACTATTGCTTTATAGGCTTCCCAAGAGGAAAGGAAGAAAAAAAGTGGAAAATGAATGACTGCTAAAAGATCGAGAGGAAGCTTCCTGGTATGAGCTTGCTGCAGCAGACCATGGGGTCTGCATTGCATGTACTTATCAGGATATGTTTTGAGAATGACTGAAAAAGAGAAGGATTAGACTGCAGAAACAGAAAGAATAATTAAGACAGCATTGCATAGCTACAAGGTAAAACAAAAGTTTATGCTGAAATAAAAAGCATTTAAACGTCATTTCCCAAAATATATTGATAAGCCAGTCCCTATAGCAATCACACCAGTTAATGGTAGACATTGTTATCACAAAGATCTTGTGCTGGTGAATAAAATCAACTAACTAAAGCTTAGTGGTTGTTGCCCCTCTGGATTATGTACTGTCTCCTTTACTGAGCTAGCATGACAGCAACTGACAGTTCATGGTAAAACTCTGGATAGGCACTTACAGCTATAGTATTTTCAAAAGCAGTGAGTAAGCAAGTATACAGTAAAAATTTAGTGCAGCACAATAAATAATAATCCTGCCATTTATTCTTACAGACATGACACCATTTTAACTATTTTGCTTTGATGTGATCTCCACACATGCTTCTACCACCAATCTAGTAAGATTTCAGAACACTTGCCAAATCCTTTACATGATTTTGTCATAAAAAAAAGAGAGACCAGGAAGTAAAAAAGACGATCATTATTATTTGTCTAATATACATAAGACAATAATTAAGCTGTAGATTTCCTAGAAGCACAAAAATTTAACAGCTCTATAATACAGTATTATCTTTACATCATTATTTACAACATCTTGGTGTTACTGACATTATGACTATCCCCTGAAGCTTCTTATAGGAACTGTGTTGCTGTGCTACTTTTCAAGTCCTTCCTTTGTTTTGCCTTGCTGGGGCTTTCCTTTCCACTGGTTGCAACATCCAGAAAAGCATATATGGTCTTTCTGCCTTAAAAAGTCTCTCTTATAGCCTTCAATTCCTCMTTTCTTTTGCACTTTACCTTATTTGGGGTATACAGGAATACTGCAAATGTTGTGTGTGTGGATTATTCCCTGAACTTCACAGCTCTCTTGACCATTTTCAAATCTAAGTTACACGACTATACACCTAAGGAGATACAGCCTTATAATAAACTCACTGCATTAAAACTGGTAGACAATATCAATTGATACCAATTAAAAGCTCCAGAAAGTGTCACTGAAGTAAYTTCAGTTTCAGACTTTGACTTGGTATTTGAYATCATATTTTCTATCACTTTCCCAGATTTTGGCTGCTGCTCCACATTAAAATCTTTAAACTGTTTTTGGGTGCAATTTGTATTACCAACCACATCTCTGAACAAAGTGATACATTATAATTACCTAGATATTTGAATATTATTATAATTTGCTACCTCTTTCCTGAATCCAATTGAATTTATTCATTAATTTATTTTTGGCATCTTGAAAAGCAGTTTTAAGGAGAAAATT